ATAAGTTAATAATTTTCTTCTTTTACAGGTATGTTGGATTCAATCCTAATACAATAGAGACCAAAAGAGTAAGTAGATTTTTATTTATAATTTTCAATTCATGTATATATTTATTGTCGCAGTCATATATTAATATTGAGGGATCGAATTTATTTTCTAGAACTCTTCTTCGGTTTTCATTTCATCGCAGGGATCGTACTCTCAAACTTATGTTTTCTCAAGGGACTTCGTGAATTAAAAAGTAGCATTAGATATTTGACTACTGTTGTTTGTACGTAGATAGGCGTGGCTATGTTATTTTGTTACTTTAAATTATCAACCGAAGCTAGAGTTATTAATTGAAATTGAGTTTTCATATAATAAAAATGAACATGTATTTAGTGTTATTAAAGAGCTTAACTTTTGTCTTTCATTGTCTTTGCCTATATATTAATAACAGTTAATTAACATTCTGCAGTTGGTAACAATAGCGAAGAACTTTTCACTTAAATATTGGCTTACCCACACAGTTTTAGTAGAGGCTTATTAAAATTCGAAGGGATCCCGGGCAAAATGAAATTCCTAATCCTCTGGTTCGAAGCTAATTATGAAAAGTATAAAATTCTACAAAACATTGTGTCTTGAATCGGGAATCGTTTCCTAACCAAGTCAAGCCAACCGATGGAATAATATATTATCCATAACCCTGCAAACCAAAGTTGTCAAGAACATGAAAAGAATAAAAATAAAATTAGAAAAGTTAGATATAAAAACGGATTGTACTTCTTACCATTCACCAAGGGGATTTGATTTACTGTTTGGTTTGCATTTACTTGCTGATTGCTAACCAACTATCCAGTTTTTTCCTAATTACAAAATTATCCTAAAAATATCCTAAAAACAGTTTGAAATTACAAAATGCTTCAACTCGGTGTACTTTTGTCGACTCTCAAGCAGCAATCCTCGCTATTACTGATGTGAATAAATGTCTGTCGAGCGCTATCTTGGAGTGCGAATCCCTCTACGATCTAGCACTACTGTGGTACCAATGTGGCACCAATGTGGTCCTACAGTGGATTTCAAGCCACTGCGGTTTTCCAGGAAATGAGGAAGCAGAATTGCCTCAACCAGTCTATCCAAAATCCTACGATGCAATTCGACGAATGGTGAGGATGGCAGTGAAGGAGGAAACAAAAAGTATACACAAAGAAAAGGTGGAAGGGAGACGTTATGAATGTTTGATGAAAACTCGATCCTAGCTGAGCTACCAAGAAAAGATGCAGTAACCTGCTTCCGCCTGGCCACTGGTCACGACTATCTACAAAGTCATCTCCACAAGATAGGCGTGGCTGAGGATCCTAGCTGCAAATTATGTGAACTAGTAAAAATGGATACAGACCACCTAGACGAATGGCCTGCTTTGATTTACATAAGAAATAAAACATTTGTGAATGAATATATAAAAAAATCAAACATATACTGGGCAGCAAGATGTCGAATGGTCGAATGACCAATGACTACTGCATAAGAAAAAAAAAGAAGGTTTTCCTAATTAAGCTAAGAAATGAAACTAGAATCTATTTAGATCATTTAATTAAAAATAAGACTAATTGAGTACCTCCCTATATTGAAATCGAATAAAAACAGCTGCAACAAAGAATTGAAAATAAAATAAAAATTCTGCAACTAAAATCATATCCAACGAAAGCAAGGAAATGTACATTGTGAAGAAAATGATCAAAATTTTCAGATGGAGACGCTATTTGCAATCGAATCATCAATGTTAGGCAAGATGAAGCTCAACTTGATTCCTAAGTCCTCTTCAGAACTTGAGTGCTTTCATCTTCATTGCTGATAGTTGATTATAATTGTTAATTGTAGATAGATTTATTCGTGATATAATAATTAAATTCAATGATTTTTAAAATATTTTAATATCTAATGGAACGCGTTAAACATTTATTCATATTTTTTTTCTTTGCTTAGTATCTAGGAAGGAAGTTCTTTTGTACAATCTGAATTAAGCGTGATATAGATTTAATATATTACTATTTACTTATTAATCCTAGCAGTCAAATGTTTAAATAATGATGAAAAATGTATGAAGATATATAAAAAATGTAACGATTTTAAAAAGACAACACGATTTTTTTTTAATTCCAAATTTTCAACATTAATATTCTTAGGTTTTAGTTTTTAAAGCAAAAAAATGTATTCTTAATTTATTGTGTTTTGTTCAAAATTAATTACATTATTTTATTTTCATTTATTGTATATACTTCTTCATTATTGTTCGGTAGTTATTTTTATTCTCTTTATTTTATCTTAACAGTATGTAGATACAGGCTGTTCCATAAGTAGGGGAAGAATGATAGTAGAATGATTACAGAATGATAGTAGACATTCTGATAATCTACAAAAACGTTCATTTAAACAATAACTCAATTTCCCGTAGAAAATGAGTAACTTTAATATTTGTGTTTTTAAGCAAGTCACGTTTTTTATTGAACAGGAAGCGATAATATAAAAAATGTTTGATTAAAGTAATTGAACATGGCTTCATAGTAAACTAGTCAAAATTTACTAATGAGATTTATTAGGAAAAAAAATTGAAACTCATCTCAAGTTGTGTAATGAAATGATGTGATTTCCTATTCAGTCACCTAAAAGAACAGGCATTTTCGGCAAAAAAAAAATTACAAATAAAAGTTACAAAACTTTTATTTATTGTTTTTGTAATAAAAATAATTGCCTAAAAACGCAATTTATTTATGAAAATAAAAAAAATTAAAAAAAATGATTTTTCAAGTTAAGTGGCTATGAAATCGTGTTTTCCCCAGATTTCTCTCATTGAAATTGATTTGTATAAGTGACAAAGTTCATATTTCTCGCCAAAATGTTTACATTTTCATGAAAATATTTGAAGCAGGTTTCTTCATTTTTATTTCTTAATGAAATTTTCAACTGTATTAAAGAAATACATTTAGTAAATTTAAACATATAGATATAATAACGTGAAAAAACTTGTTAAGAAACTACCCAATGGTAGCACTCTAATAATATTTCTACATTAGTAGATCACGGGACCTTCTTCTTTTCAAACGGCTCGGAGCGTTATCAGGAATTGAAGAGGAAGCAAGATTAGAAACGAGAGGGTTGGGATGATTCTGAAGTTTATTATGGATTGGGCCAGGAATTCGATGCTTTAGTGGAGCCCCATAGCTCAACTCCGTAAGTCCAAATAGGCCTTATTATAGTAATGTATATGAGTCTTATGTAGTTAATTGGAAGTTTAGAGCGTTTGTCTAGTAAGTGCTGAAGTAATCGCAAACGTTGAGTGGTTTCTTGTCGTTTCAGTCTGGTATGAGGTTTCCAAGTTAGACGTTTGTCCAGGTAGAGTCCTAGGTAGTAAGTTTGCCATTTATAAATACGCATTCCTTGCTATGACAGAAATCTGGCAAAAAAAAAAAAAAAAAAAAAAAAAAACACAATTTCAAAACTATCTTACGTTATCAGTGACTATCAACCAGTCAGTCTACTATCAATCTTTCCATGCGACACAACATTATATTACTGAAAAAATAAAAATTCTTTATTATCTTTTTTTTTTAAAGACTTCTTTTTTTTAAGATGTAAAATTAATAATTATTTCACCATGTGATATTTCATAATAAAGCAAGAGTGTTCAGCAGGTTTGTTTTTGTATTAATTGCATTATAAATTATTGTTTTATTTCAAGAGGTACTATATTAAAAATAAGAATTAAATGGGATGTACGTTGTATCCCTGTGTAATGAAAACATTCCTACAATAAAAAAACAAAACAATAAGAGTGAGACACACTTCATGCAAAACTGTATGTGAACTATTTTAATTTTGAAACCTCGCTGAAGCATATCACATATACCAGCTCTGAATACAATTTAAATGAAACAAGAATGTACTTTTCATATTTTCTAGGACTCAATATTTCTAGGATTCTACTCTGTGAGAAAGAGACAATAAAAATTTTTAACTGTGAGCAGTTATTAAAAGATATTTTAATATGAAACATTTATTAAAATAGATGAAATTTTCAGTCTTTGAAATTACATAAGTAAGGAATCCTAATTCACTATTTCTTTATTATTTCATTATTTAGTCATCATGTTTGTTCTGCATACCGCAGCTGTAAGCTAGAACGGGAATTTTCAATCATTGTGAGACTTAATGATATTTATATAAACTATAAATTAATTATAATTTATAATTACAATTAAATAATTAATTATAATTATAGATAAATAAAATAGAATTTATAATTATAGCATGCTTGTACTTAGCAAAATTTATATTCATAATGAAGAATTTAACATTTTTTTTTTCTCTTATACCGGTCGTTGGTAATTTGGCCATCCGACATCTTGCTGCCCAGTATAATTTAGACTTTCTTATATGTATATTCGGAAATATTTTGTTTCTTATGTCCCTCAAGGCAGGACATGCGTCTAGATGGTCTGCATCCATTGTTCCTAGATGACACAATTTACAGCTAGGATCCTCAGCGACGCCTATCTTGTAGAGATGACTTTGTAGATAGTCGTGACCAGTGGCCAGGCGGAATTTAACTTCTAACAAACTGATTTCTTCATTTCATTCAATGTGCGAAATTACTTTGAAAAATATTTCAATAATTTATTGATGAACATATTTTTTTTTCTTCACTAATAAATTCATGCAATGTTTATGGCAATGAAGATGGAAGTATTTAAGATTTTTTTTTTTCTCTGTGACTAATGTTGACCAAAATCGGTCTTGGTCTTGAACTTTGCAAGACCAAGACCAGGACTGGTAAAAAAAATCGATTTTTTAAATAAAAATTAAGGCAAAATAGTTACTAATACTTGACAATCTTAGTTACTATATGTTAATAATTGCTATAACCAATATACTTTTGCAATCAATTCCTCTAATTTTTCATTCGGGCTTAGTCAGGTTTCTCCTATCTAAAAAAATTACTGTAATATCTCCAGAGTAATAAGCTAATAAGTAACTGAAAGACTGTTGCGAGACTCTTGCGCAAGACCAAGACCATGACCATGACTGAGTTTGCAAGACCAAGACTCGGCTCGGTCTCGCATTTGGGCAACACTTTCTGTGACTTTAGGTATCGAATACTCATAGGTATGGAAGTGTCAATATTTCCATTTCATTTAGAATTTCTATGTCTTTTGGAAATCTTATACTCCAGTTAATAATTGAAAAGATCGCTAACATCTAGTCACAGCTTAGTCATATGCAAGCTATAACTCAAAAAAGTTTCTTCGAATTTAAGAACGCACATAGGTAAAATACATTTAACATGTTGAAATCAAAGAAGCCGAAAACGAAAGTATAGTAGAGGTTTCTTTGGGAATAGAGCGAGATCGGAACTAGGGTGGTGTTGAAAGGGAAGAATGGAAGCTGGAATGGAGAGGGTGGATTGGTCCCTATTGTCGAGGCGGTGGCAGAAAAGGTGTGGTCTGGAGTTCATTACCTTCCCATAACAGCTCCTGTATCCGTATCAAACCGGCTTGTTAATTCTTTGTCATGGACTCTGTCCTCTCTGGAGGGTGGGGAGTATGCGGCCAGGCTCCGACCGAATACATCTTTAAATTCGTTCTCGTTCGTTTGACAAATGAGGGGGTTTATTGGGTTTGTCGGGGCTTTGTGGGGAGAGGAGTGTGTAGGGAATCATTTCTGTGAGCCGAAAACTTCACATGTAATCTGCTAAACATTCATCTTTTTTTTTTTTTTTTTTTTCTAAATCCACATCATGAAATCTATTTGATAAATTGTAGCTAAACATATCATAAATTATTGTTTATTTTAAAATGTAGTATTCTAGTAGATAAGCGAACAGTGATGAACTAAAGCAGTCGCATCAATATTATATATGTGAAAAAATACTAATCTCAATCTTTATTTACAATTACTATAATCAACTGACGCCGCTTGGTTGGTTGTATAATAAAGAAGTAAAACCTGTTGGTCATCAACGCCGTTAATTAAAATTATATTTTAATATTATATTATTACATCTTTTATATATAAGTTCATGTATTGTCCTAAGGATAGAAGAGTATGCTGTGTATATAGCAACCCAATATAATTGGGCAGCAATCCTTTATATTTTATATTTTATGAAAATAAAGTGTTTCTCTCTGGATAAAATTTAAAAAAAATGTAAAATGCATGTTAAAGTTAAAAGTTGTTTATTTTTATTAAAGTTTAATTATTTAAAGTTAGCACGTTAGGTAAAAAATAAAAAGGAAAAAAAATGGTAAAAGGAAAGAAAGGGGTGGGGAGTGCTGCGTGAGAGTTTCAGATATTTTTAAAGATTCCTTCTTCAGAGAGAAAACATATGATTTTGCCTAAGATTTTTTCATTATTTTCCTAAGCAGCCGGTGTATTTGCTGGTATTCCCGTTATGTTTAGTTGTCTAATGTAAAAGGAACAACCCTCGAAGATATGGACCACTTACGTTTCGGAGTGATCATTAAATATTGGAGTTATTTCTAACACAATAAATGCAAATAACGTATAGGATTTTACGTTAAAAAGTCACATTTACTTTTTTTTATGGTTGTGATATTTTCTCATTATTCTACGATCTATATATAATGTTGGACCTGATTATATTATAATTTATATATTATATTATTACACTACACACTTAAATAATAATATTAGTTATTTATGACAAAATATTATGTATGTATTTTAGTGCAAAAAACAATCAAATATCGCAACAGTTATTCTAAATAAAAATTTATATTGTTAAAAAAAAAATTAAATTTCTAACGTATGTTATTCACGGATTCATATTTTATGAATAAAAATGTATATGTGCTCAGTTCCTTAAAGTAACTATATATTTTAATATATCTTATGTCTTTAATTTGGAACACGTTATTATATGCATACATAACAGAGTGGAAAAATGGAACTGTACAAATTTTTAAGTTATTATAATTAAATATTATCCCATCTTTTTCAAAATTGAAATTCCAGGTTTGTGGCTTTGAAGTACTAACTAATATTTAATCCTTTCAAAAGAAAACATTAATATTTCATCTATACAAACTAGGTAACACACAAAGTCGTGATTACCACCCGTGTTTTAGGTTATTTCTCGAAATAAATAAAACTAGAAATAACTCAAAAAAAAAATCACACAACGTCATTAAGTTTTTTAATTTATTTTTAATCGTTGCGTTATATGTTTCCATCCGATTGAAAAGTATATTAGAAGTAGTTTATTACACTGATTATATATATATACTTTTTTTCTGGCTATTGGTTTGAGCCACTGGGAAGAATTACATAAATATGTTATATATTTTATTTTATTTTATGTGAAGAAGAAAACACCTTATGGATTTATGAATAATGTCCACATTAAATAAGTTGAAAAAAAATTATAATCGATAACAATCAATTGTAATTGTATTGTTAGGTTTTTTGTCCATAACAACTGTGAGCCTTTACTATCATAGTTCCTTTCCCTGTAGATTTTCCTTTTTATCTTTTTCCCTGTGATGAAGAGAGGGAGAATTCTTCCTAGCCCAAGGAGTGGGTTCCTTTGGCAGCTTCGATGCCCAACCTCTTCTGGCCTCTCTGGAATGCTCAGAATTTGGTTCAACTTCGAACACATACCGTTTTCAGTAGGCTGTTGTATTTGTCTGTTGAAATTTCATGAGAATGGAGTGTAAATAGCATTAAACATCCTTGAAATGCTGTATCCGATTGAAAAATATATTTTTAACGACCTTTGTAAACTAATATTCCAATTGGACTTGTAAATCAATTGCGAATATTTTCCCAACATATTGATAGCTATCTTAAAAAACTCTGCAATTGCAGAAACTAAAATTATTCTGTAGCGGAAAGAAATTTATAATATAAAATAGATTTTCTGTTAATCTCGAACATATGCGATGTCAATCGACATCGCTTTATCAGTTTCCTCCTCGCCTTGATGGCATCTGAATTTTATTCATATTTCTTCCTCGTCCCGTATCTATAAATCCATAAAAAATAGTCTTTGTTTGTTGATCATATGTAGGTAAGTAAACATTATTCAGCAGGGTGTGTTGGTCTCGTACTAAGATGTTTTTTTTGTTTTTTTTATGATTCGTAATATTTTCTTTTTTAAATATCTAAATATTTTGAGCGTAAGACGCAAATGTAGGAGAAATTTACACAAGTCCATATAATGAAATGAAATGAAACTGAAATGTATTGAAACAGTAATTTCATTATGGAACCAACGACTTCTAAGAATAATGACATAGTTGAAGAAATATGTACTACTATAGAATAGAATAGAAAAATAATTTTATTCTGGGACGGAGTCCCTTCAGAATAACAAAAAAGTACAGAAATTAAAATTTTACATCTGGCCAGATAAAAACAAACATAACAAATTAAGATAAGATAGACTATATATACTAATAAATAAATTTTAGTCATGCAATTAGATATAAATATAAAAAAATACAACAAATATAATGGCATTTATTTCTTTAATATTGATAAGCAGAAGTAATTTTCTGGTGTGAATATTGAAAAGTGGATATAAAGAAGTGAATATTGATCTGTAGGATGTAGGGAAGATTTTGGGTTCTCAGGAATTGAAAAAGTAAAACCAAGGAATTTCCGTTGGGAAGTAAACGGGTGCCACTTCAACTCGGTATACCAACATAAAACATGAAAATGCCTCTGGATCCCAAAATTGAATCTCATGAAACAATTCACGAGTCTCTTCAGTGTTACCTCCATCGAGCCGAGTCTATCCTCCGCACACGTAGCAACCGTAGTCGAAGTGGGGAGGGAGAGGGAGGTACAAGAGATGTTACAAGGAGTTGTCTGATTTCAGGAATAGGAATCTCATAAGTTATTTAAGTGTATTTATGGATTTTTCAGTAATCTGGGAAATACGGTTACTCCAAGTGATTCTTATCTTCGGTTACTCCTAGGTTTTGACAATCTGGAGGAAATGGATAGAGCGGTTATTGAGGTGAAGTAGAGGATGGTAGAGAATGAAACTCATGAGATGTCTGAGACCGATTAGAATAGACTTAGTTTTTTTTCTGCATTCGTCTTCAATTCATTAATTTCTGTCCATCTATGGATACAGTCGATATCCTCATAAGGGTCACTTGTTTGAAGATTGTCCAACAAGTCAACTGCTGTCAGTTACTGGATGACCTCCAATCTAATTTTTTATTAGTCAATTGTTGGATAACCACCAATCTATTATTTCATTAAGTCAATTTCCGGATAACCTGTAGTATTTCATTAGCCAAATGCTGGATAACCTCCACTCTAATAATTCATTAGTCCATTGCGGGATAACTTCAAAGCATGCTACTTAGATGAAGACCTGAAACTTAGGTCGAAATGTTAAATATAATTTGTCAATTATCTTTTAGAAGGTTTCTATTTTATGTTTTCATTTATCGTAATATTCTTTAATTAAAATGGTTCCTGTAAATCGATTTTTAAAAAATGAAAAAGCCTTTGACTAAGATTTCGAATTGCTTATTATTGAACTATCATGTAGGTTTTAGAATAAATCTTTCCGGTATGAAATAGTTCTCATCCTATTTGCTCTATTAGCGGCTAAGTGAATACAGAAGGGACAAATTGACTAAAGGGAGACTTGAAGCTCCAGGAAGGGCAATGATTTGACCCAAGCTTGCCCATTAGCTCACCTCCCACCCGCCTCCTAACAACTTAGACACTTTCTTTTCTTCCAGTTCCTTAACGGCCCTCTTTCCCAGTTAGCTTTTCACACCTTTTTCTTCCGTTAATACTGTCCATGTTCTGGCTCTATAGATAACATTTGTCCAGAAGTTTATGTAAAGTTATACTCCTTTCATCCATGAGTACATAACTTCGTAAACTTTTAATCATTCTTTTTTTACTGACTCGACTGAAAAGAAATTCCGTATAAGAAAAAAAACATTATCTTATAGCGTGACGAATCCAATTCCGATAGAAATAAATAAAAAAAACGTTACAAGAAGACGAAGAATAATCATCATGTTTTATAATTTTACAGCAGATTCACTTACTGTATTATATCTGTAAAAATTTTACAAATACATAACAATTGATACAAAAGTTCATGTAGATATTTATTATATTTTATTTTATTTATTTTTATTTTTTAATCAGTTATAATACACTCTTTCACAAAAATGGACATTCGTAACAGTGGTAAAATATTTCATTCAAACCATATTTACA